GTTTTTTGCCGAAACAAATGAAAAATATTCAACCCTCGCTTTTTGCCCTTTTTAAAAACGTTCGGGGCTGAGCCCCCCCCCCCCCCCCCCCTAGCCTAAAATCCTGGTTACACCGCTAAAATTATTTAAAAAAAAAGATTCTTTTTTAAAAGTAGTTTCTATATTTTTATTTAAAGGGAATTAAAACCTAAATTTTGGAAACTTCGACAATTATCCTCATCTGATGAAATAATGTTTAATTTAATTAGTGGTTCAGTTTTTCTACGTTTTCTTTATCCAGCTATTTTATCACCAAATCTATTTGGTCTAACTCAAGGTAAATTAATTTTAACAAAATAATAAAGATATTTTGTTGTTAAATAGAATATCCACATGAAAAATCATCAAGAAAATTAACATTAATTGAGAAAACATTACAAACAATAGCCAATTTTTCTAAGTAAAAAATAAAAAATCGAATTTTCATTTAAAATAAAATTTTTGATTCAGATTTTTGGTCCAAAAGAATCTTATATGAAATTTATGAATGATTTTGTTGAAAAAGAATCAGAAAATATGCGAGGATTTTTAGCTAATATATCTGTAAGTAAAACAAGAAGATTAAATGATTATTTAAGAAATTTTTTGTAGATAATCGATCATGATTTTTATTAACCACGATTTTCAACTATAAATCTTCATGATAATAAATGTTATATTGATTTAGGTTAGTTTCTTATTACTATTCAAATAATTTATCTAAAAATCTTTATTTTATTCTATGCCGAGAATATTCAATCCTTCATTCCACTCTTGCTCATCTATTCGAACAAATTGATTTAAATACTCGTCCAACATTAAATGAATTAACAAATATAAAACTATTTTATTCAACAACACAAAAATGGTACACAGAGATATCAACATCATCATCATTATCAGAATATTTTTATAATCGCTTAGATAAATAATCAAATGCTAATCGTTAATCACCATACGGTAGTCAAATATCATTATCATTAACTGGTACAACAGGTACAAAAAAATGACTCATTACAAGCTTATCATTCAATATTAACATCACGAACAATAACAACTGTTCAAAATCTTAGGAAAGAAAATATTCGTACACTATTGTCTTTCAAAATTCCACTTTTTAATAATTAGATCATTCATATTCAAACTGATTCAAATGATGATGATTATGATCAAACACAATCAAATCAAACCTAAAATGAATCATCTAAAGCTCTTTATTTTGTAAATAGTTTTTCTATTGAATCTCTGTAATATTCATCTCCTTCTTCTCAACAATCTCTTGTTCATTTAACTAGTCAACAATCTTTATAACAACGACTATTAGTTTTTTAGATAATGATTATATGACAAGTACACAAAGTTTAGCATCATCAAATATAAATACATCAAATACCAATAAAAAAATTTCAGCAACATCAACAACTTATTATTGTATAAAAACAAATGATGAATTTAACGAAACAACTAAAAGACAATCGATTTAACTATCTCAACAATAACAACCACCAAAAATGCATGTTAAGGCATTTAATAATACTTCATCGAATAGACTAACAATTATTTATAATAATTAAATTTATAAAATATTTTCGTTTATTTTATTTTAGAATATTGTTCTTCTTCAACGTTCACTAATGTTAAATTTCTATCAAGAAGGAAAATGTCGTCGAACTGAATCCGACAAACAAGTTGAACGGTAAGTAAAAATAAATTAACTAGATATATTTAATTACAATGGAAAAAATAAATAACTTTTCTTTTTTTTCCAATCTTTATCTAGTATAATAGTAATTTTGCATGATTTTCTTCTCTCTCTCTCTTTCTCAGGTTCTGCTCACACAAGACCGTTGTCTAACAAAATCAGGTGGGTTATATATAGATTTATATTTAAAGCATGCCCCTTTTTTGTTTCTTATTTTTGAATTAATTGCATGTTATTGATTTTTATTAAGCATGCTTCTTCTTATATTTTTATTTTTTATAAATGAAAAATTTTATTTTAGACTTCATGATGAATTAAATAAATCATATGAACAAATCGAGAAATATCGACAATCAATTTATTTATTAAATAAAAAAATCTGACAATAAATATAGATGACTATAATAGAATTGATTATTTCGATAATGATGATTCTCGACCAATTGAAAAAAACTTTTGTTGTCATGATAATATAACAGAAAATAAATTTATTTTTTCTTTTATATTAAATCACCATCAACACCAGATGAAAATGGTAATGATATTGATAATCTGTCTATACTTTCAGATCTTGAAAATGAGATAGAATGAAATTTTCAGCCTTCTTTTTCTCAATATTCATTGTTATTTATTTAACTGGCATTATTATATCATTTTATTTAATAAGAGAAAATAATTTGAGTGTATCTTTGTTGTTTGATAAGACGATGATTTTTTCTTTTCTTATAATGTCAATCTTTATTACAATACTAAAAATTTTATTACGAATAAAGCACATCAGTGATTTCTGAATGTCTCATTCAAAAACCAATTCATCGTTAAAAAAAACACATTAATGATAAAAAACAACTCAATAATATGTATATTTTGATTAAATATATATCCGGTGGGCCAAAAGTAATACGACATTTCTAATTTCGTATCTATCTCGACTTGAGAAAATGATCAAATCTTGATTCTTTCTCTTTTGAAAAAGATCGTCGTGAGAAGCTCTACGAAAACTGTATAAAGAAAACGCTATTAACTAGTTCTGATGATTTTTTCCATACTCAAAATGAACAACCTACATGATAGCACTACCGTTTAGCATGTTTGAAAGGCTTTTTTGTTTTCCATATATGTCGGTCTAAGAAAATGATAACATCTTGATTTGTTTTTTGATAGATGCATCATCGAAAGTTCTACTCCATCGCTTTGTACAAATTGCTAATGGAAAACAAAAACATTTTCCAAACATTTTTATTATGTTCAATGCTCTGGAAAGTAGTACTCTTATGTGGATTGTTCATATTGAGCATGAGAAAAATCATCAGAACCAGTTAATAGGGATTTTTTTTATACAGTTTTTGTCGAGCTTCTCACTCCGCATTTTTTCAAAAAAAATCAAGATTTGAGCATTTTCAAGCCGAGGCATATATGAAATAAGAATTGTCGCATAACTTTTGACCCACGTGGTATTTATGATGAGTAAGCATATTTTCATTGATTATTTTTCACTGACAATACGATCAATAAAAGTTTACGAAAAGATTTCATCAGTGATAAAATCTACATATAGATGATGATCTTTCAACTATCCGTAAAAAACTAATAAAAGAGAAATTTTGATTAATGTCTCAATTTGTTGATCTCCTTATGAACGCTCTCTTTATCATAAATGAGTGACGTGCTATTTAAATAAAAATAAATTCTTTTAATACCTCTGATAGTTTAGAAGAAAATTAATTTTGGCAGTTCTCGTCTGAATAACTTTAATTGTTTATTTTCATTTAAATATTTTAAAAAGCAAAATCTTATTTGATACAGTAGTACGACCAGAATAAAAAGTTTGTTTTTATGATTCTGCAAAGTTTCTACTGTTATAGAGACAAAAAACTGTTTGAAACAATTAATGATCTCAGTACCAATGTCGCAAAAGATAGTAGACAAGTGATTATTTTTCATCTAAACTAATCTTATATATTCATATCATTTTTAACAGTCAAATTGAGACTTGTATTTATTATTTGAAATTGTTCATAGTTCAGAATCAACTGATTTCTATAAATCTACCTAGTGAATCTGTTCATCGTTATTCATCATTGTACTATATGCTCATCAAATCCCTTAACATTTGCTTTGAAATCTCCTTCTCAATAATTAATTTTCTGCTTAATACTCTTCAAAAATCATGAGCATAAGCAATTTTTTAAAACTCTGTTCTTTTAATCTTCATTTGATGATTTCATTCTGTGTTGTTGTACTTATTATTATTTTTATTTAAATGATTTATACAAGACTAAGAAAAATCACAGAGAGAGGGGAAATATGAATTAAAATTTTGTGAATGAACAGTTAGATCACGCACGTATAGAGATTTTATTTTAGCACAATTGAGACGTGTTTCATCATTAGTAAAATTATTTGTCACACTTGCTAATGTGCTGTATCTAATTTTGAGATTCGTTAAACAAGGTAAACGCGTACTTCTATCAGAAAGAAATAGTGTAGCATAGGCATTGTGTGCACTGATAAGATTGAGTTTCAAGAGATGATTAAATGTAATCAATGTAGACGAATGATGTTGATCATTTTTTTGTTCTTTTAAATTTAATATGATTAATTTTTGAAGAAAAGGAAAGTCTTCAGAAATAATTTTGAATAATTTATGTTCAAATGGATATCTATCAAGCATCATTAATATTCGAACTTTATTGAATTGACCACCTTGAAAACAGTTACTGAGAAATAAGAAATCACTAAATGGATATGGAAGAGAATAAACATGACAATCACCTCCATTATTTCTAAATATTTTAGTGGCACATGTACCAACTAATTGAAAGCCTTGTTTAATAAAACTATTCCGAATATCATCATTCGATGGAAGATCACTATCAATGCGAGTGTTAATAATATGAGTGTGTATATTAAACATAAATTTGTTTAGTCGTGGCAGATACTTAAGAACTTGTTCATATAATTGATTACCATCGATATAAGATGTTTCAGCTCTTATCACTGAGAGTTGTAATGATAATTCTTCAAGATTTAACATTCGACGAAGCAATGGAACAACCAGTGTATCATAGCAGTACGAATACTGTTCTCCTACTAATGAGAAACATTTCAATTTGCAAAGTTTTTCCTAAAGAAAATAAAATTTCAAAGATAAATTTGTTCATATTCAATGATCGTATTTCTTCTTACTTTATTATTAATATTCGATGATGGACGACTAATTTTCTTTATGCGAATTATCAACGTTGATAAATATTGAAGACATTCATTAAGAAGATGAAGACAATCATTAAAACTATTTACTTTTATAGTCAAGTTAGTCAAACTTGAAGATAAAGAACATCCCTGTAGAATATCACATGATACAAATGATAGATAGTTGCTTGAAAACTTTTGAGAAAAATTCAAATCAGTTAAATATCTACAGTAGAATAATATTGCTACAAATACAATTGTTTCAAGCTTATCGGATAATTCTCCCTTGTCATGATAAATGTCAACGGTAAGATCTGTAATTTGATCATTTAGAAAAGATATCACGCCATCTAAAATGTAAATAAAATATTAATGGTTCATCAAATCAAATTGGATTTATGATCATACCTTTTAAATGTCGTAGGAGTATATGAGATTGATAATTGACCAATGATAATGAATGTAGTTGAGGATATTTCACAGCACTAAGAATACGTTCCGTTGAAAATGGATCAAGAGTAAGTTTGGTTATTTTATCATTAATTTGTGGTAAGATCTTCGAACAAACTTTATCGAGAATGTAAGTATCTACCGAAGAATTATGAACATGAGATCGTTCAATTGCAAAATCAAGATGATGAATAACGAGAGAATCAAGTGATAGTCGATCAAATCGGTGATTTACATCTACTAATGAATAGAATATATCGATCGTGTTCAGTTTATTGAAAATGATAGATAATATTTCGTCTGGTAGATCGAGTATATTAATATCGTTGCTATTTAAAATGTTCATGTCTAATGATTATTTTTCACTCAGTTACTCTCATTTTCTTTCAGTCCATAAATATATAAACAATATATTATTTTTCTTGCTGCCGTCCGTCAGAATAATATTCATGTAGCCATTGTATATGATAACAAATGTCTGATGCCATTTTTCTTTCTGCCTAAAATTTCTCTCATTCATAACGAAAAAAATTTGTGCGGTCAATTTTTGATAATATAAGTGCATTTGTCTTACATAAAATAGATCATAACAAATAGTATCATTTTTTGATTAACTTGAAATAAAAAGGCTGAATATCTCAAATATGTTCCGAACTTTTTGTTTTCATGAAACAAGAGTATTGATATACATAGCTTTAACGTTATAAATAAAATTCATCTAAAGATTCGATATCAGCGGTTTTATTCTGTTTGTTTACGTATTTTCTATAATTTTTGAGTTGCTACTCAAACTGTTCGAAATGAACACATTCATTTTTTCTTAACACAATATCGTCGGTATTATCAGATTTTTCACAATAATTTAGTGCAGAAAAAAATTCTTACTAATTGATGTTTGACAAAAAATTTCTAATCATCTCAATAACTTAAATTGATTCATTACTAGAAAATTTTCGTTCAAATATAATCTTGATATCTTCAACAAATACGATCAAGAATATATCGTGTTAAAAATTGTATAACAACTTCCGTACCAAATCCAAAACATGGTCACTAATGCATAACGCACTAGTGCATTTGATTATACTAAGTCATCAAAGTCGCTTAGAGAATCATTTTTTCAGTGATCTTTAATGATTTGTTGAAAGACATGTAACAGGATATTTTCGTCGTTAAATCGAATTTCATGTAATTGACATTTGGCCTTTTGAAAGCAGAAAGAAGTCATACGTATATAGATCTTTAGATTATACTAGATTTGGATATGATTTCTTAGAATTCTCTGTAAAAATTTGTTGATAACTGAGATTTTCTGTGATCTCGAAGATCAATTCTGTATTTCTTTACTGATATAGTTTGAAAAGTCACGCTAGGTAGCTATTCAGAGGCTAACTTCCATCTACTATAACCTAATGGTATGGACTCGATTAAATCAGATTTCGTGAAAAAATTTCATACAATTCGCTTGTCAGACCAATTGTTTCAGATGCGAATTGATTCTTCGTAGATTCGTTTGCAGGGGTGTGGGTGTGGGTGTGGGTGTGGGTGTGGGTGTGGGTGTGGGGTGTGGGGTGTGGGTGTGTGGGTGTGGGATGTGGGTGAGGGTGTTAGTATCGATGTTTAATTCATCCACACCCACACCCACACCCACACCCTTAGAATATTTGTTTTTCCAAACAACGGCTGATTCATTGTGAAGAAATGCTTGAATTAATTGAAAATGTAGTTTGCACAGAATTCTATTGCTGTGTAAAAACGTCTAGGCAGAGCCACGCCTAAATAGTCTGAAAATGTACGGGATTGCGAAAAAAAACCATATTTGACTTTGTATAAAAATTTACTGAGGTCCCTTCGAGCATTTGATCACAGTGGTTCTACGTATGACTCGAAAAAAAAATTCAAGCATAACTATTCTGAAAAAGCACAAAATTGTGATTCTGACAAACTTCTTTTGACTTTCACCAGTGACTTCCGAATGTCCAAAAAATGAACGAAAACAGTATACCAAGATTTACCGTGATGGCTAAAGTTATTCATAGGATTTTGTTTTAATCAGAGATCAACGGCGAATAGGTATTCTGAGAAATGTAAAATACTAAAAGAGCTTCCATGACTCCTATTATCTACACTCTAAATACCAAACCATTCGACTTATACATATAACTTTTAATATGAACAACATAGAGGCCTGTAATGTTCTCCATCTAAAAGTCAGACGCATGCTTGCCGCTTTCTATTTATCAAATTTCTTTCATCGAGTGATTGACAAATCAAATGAGTTTTATTGGACTTTTTATGGACAGCATATTGGAAACTCTTCCATTCGATAGAGGAAATTGTACTCTTTTGATTTGTGAAGGATCAAATTTGCTAACATGTTCAGTTCAGAAGTTAGAAACATTTTTTGTGAGAGCGTTGAAATCGGTTGAATGACATACAATCTGCATAAAATTGACCAATTCAAAGGAAATCAACCATGTTGAGTCGAGTGCTAATGTTTGTTTTTAGTTTTGAAAGTGATCTTAGATCATTGAATCCGTTTTCGAAGTATCCACTCAATACACAATATAAGGAAGAAAAGGCTGAACTTTCGAAAAGTAATATATTAAGGTCAATTGCTTTTTAATTGATCCATTTTATGCAAGTTGAACGCCGTTCGGTCAATGCCAAGATTCTCAAAACAATGTTTCTAGCTCCTGAACAGAACATGCTAGCGAGCTCGACCTTGCGCAAATCGAAAGAAAAAACCTTAGTCCATCGAATGGAAGGGTTTTCACTATGCTGTCCACAAAGTGTCCAATTAAAAACTCATCGATTTAGTAAATTGCTTGACTAATCGAATTCGATATGAATCGGGCTTTCGAATGGCGAACTTCGCAGACCTGTACGTTGTTCCTATCAAAAGTTATTGAAGAAACACTGGAGGATATTTTAATGACAATCTTATAATATGGGTGCAACAATAATGTGGCAAGATCTCCAACGCGTATAGATCGAACGGTTTGATATTTGGAGCGTAGATACCAAGAGAGAGAACGGTTTTTTTGGAATTCTTGTTTCTCAAAACACCTATTTGCTGTTGATCTATGATTAAAGCCAAATTCTACCAATAATATTTGCCGCCACTGTATTTGACGGAGCTAGGCTATTATCGTAGTAATTACCAGGTCGGTGTAGCACTTGAGCACTTCACGTGTACGTTCTGTTACGGTGTTCCAACTTGTTATTCCGACGATAGTTGGTTCTGACGACTTTTCGTTCCGTGATTTGTAGCTGTGAACACTCTGTCCAATGAATTTCGACACACCATTGTTCAATCCCTCCGTCAGCAACCATACGCCTGTAAATATCTGTAGTTTCCAACTTGGAAAGAAACCTCGCGAGATGAGAAATCACTTTTTAACTCAAATTAATGTTATCTTGTAGATCTCAGCGACTAATGAAGTACCCTAAGTTCATTCATCCAAAATACTTTGGAATGGAGTTTTGAACTTTTCAATTTCTGATCGAAAAATGCAATTTCACTGCGGAATTTTTTATTCCGAGTCGAATAATATACGATAGACTTAATATTTTTACTTGTGGTTACTAGCCACAGTGGTCATGATTGAATGAAAGTTTGAGTTCTATCGCTCAAAAGCTTTCATAGTTTTTGAAGATTGTGAAATTTTTTAAAAATCTAGTGTGATTGCATATAAGATTGCACCTCAATACAAAGTTTCATAGAGCTGATATTTTGAACTTCTAAAGAAAGGCTCATGAATTAGATATAATACTGCTCAAAATTATAAGAACAACATATTTTTTCATTTTTTTTCTACCATACTAAGTGTCTAGCTCAAATCAAACCAGTGATTTAAATAGCCAACGAATCTCTCTATACAAAGCATCTTGTATCATAATTCCATAAATACATTATGAGAGAAAGATTTCTAAAAAGCTAAAAACTGTATCTTTCAGATACTCACTAATCCTTGAGACCTACAAGATAAAACTAGTCTGAGTTCAAGAGTGATTTATCATCTCGCAAGGTTCCCAGATTAAACATACCCTTCGTAGTTGCTGCTTGTGAAATGGGTGTGGGTGTGGGTGGGTGTGGGTGTGGGTGGGTGTGGGTGTGGGTGGGGGTGTGGGGTGTGGGTGTGGGTGGGGGTGTGGG